CAGTTGGGGCGGGGGGGGCCTGCCGGGTGGGCATCCCCGTGGCCCTGGTCTCTTCCACGGGCCGTGGGGTTGCCACTAGATGGGGCAGTCAGGCAGCCTAACGCATGGGACGGGCCGCTGCCCGCGCTGTCCTGCCTGCAACGGGCGCTGCCCTGCCTGCAAAGGGGTCCCGCACTCGCCGTGCCCAGCAGTGCCCCGTCCCCCCCACGGTACCTGTGTACTTGCTGACACCCGCCTGGGCAGCCACGTCCACCAGCACCACGACACCACGGGCAGGGTCGCTGGCAGCCACGTCCATCTCAATCAGGGCGTGAGGGCCCACGTTGCCGCTGGCGTAGTTGGCAATGTAGATGGAGTATCTGCCGGAGCCCTGTGGCCAGCAGCACCTCCTCAGCACCCATCCACCCAACCCCATCTCCACAACAATCACAGGATCCCTGCCGTGGGGCTGGATGCTTTCATGGCCCTGGATGCTTTCATGGCCCCAGAGGACCAGACACCACTACCATGTGCTGAGCAAGAGCTCTGCAAAGCCCATGCTGAAAAGCACCCCAGGAGTGAGGATGTGCCCCATTACCTCTAAGAGCAATGTGGTCCCCAGGCTCATGGTGCTGACACTGGGCACCCTGCCCCCAGGCATCCTTTGGTGTGCCAGGTCCCCCCCAAACCTACCACCCCCCCTTGTCCCATGCAGCAGCTGGACCCTGATTTAGTGATAATCGTTGGGAAACAAACCTCTGGAGGAGGAGGAAGAAGAAAGAACAGGTGACAGGAACATAAATCACCTCGACAGGCACGTTTATCAGCTGGCGGCAACCGTGTGGACAGGCGCCCGCAGTACTCACGCGCGCGTGCGGGGGGGGGGGGCCTCCCACCCCGGACAGTCACGGGCTTCTGGGGGGCACTCCCAGCCCCAGGGGGAGGTGGGATGGGGCTGGTACCCAGGCGAGGGGTAGATGTTGCCTGGGACCCCTCAGGGGAGGGCTGGAGGGGGACGGGAGGCGGTAAGGGAGCAGGGATGCCCCGTGCCCTGCCTGCTCACCATCCGGTCCACGCAGGCGACAGAGCGCCCTGCAAAGAGGCTGGCCACGTCCCGGTTCACCTCGTCGCTCAGGAGGTCCTCCCAGCGCCCGTTGCGGAGCTTGAAGAGCTTGTCTGTGTAGGTGGCCATGCCTGGGAGGGGGCACAGGTCAGGGGGCCGCAGCATCCCACCTCCTTCTGAGGAGAGTGCCTGCGGCAAGGGGAGGCTGTGGAAGAGGTACTCCTTTTCCCGGAGCACCCCAAACCTCTGATCTGGCCCCAGCAGCCCCCAGCAGTGCCGTGGGGCCGGGCTGCTGCTGCAAGAACCCCCATGACCTTTAAGGGCCACCAGGAGACACGCAGAAGAATCAACTCATTAAGGTAAAATGTGTCCCAACAGGGTGCAGGCCTGTAGATCATCCCCAGGAAGGTAAAAAAAAATCGATTTGGTGCCAGGCACAGGCAGGGAGGCG